TCATTGTTCCGCCCCTTGCGTTGCCGCGTGACAGGATCAAGTCGGATACCATTTTGTCGCACACTGTGCGTGCCCACTCGGCGAAGAAGTGCGATAGTTTGTGTTCGCCCCGCTGCGTTACCACGGGCCGAGAAGATTACAATCGTGCTCCTATGGTACGTGTTAGAGCGGTGCCGCCATGTTTCCACGCCTGTCGCACACGCGCCGTAGGCCAAATGAAGGCATGATCTGTCCTGCGCGCGGAATCGTGCGCGCGCGGGCCTCCGCAGCCCGCGAAACGCTCGGCCTTGCGTTCGCCCCCTCGGAGAGCACGACGCCCCGTTCGGGGGCAAGGGCGCCGATGCAACGCAATGCAATTGCGCTCTCCCCCGCCCCCCTGCCCCCCCTTGGATTTCTTTGATTCTGCATCCCCAAACGGGGTGGCCGGCTCCTGAGCTGATGAAGACCAGAGACCGTGGTGCCTGCGCCTGGCTACGCATTGCGCCCGCGCGGAGGACATCGACTGCCCCCGCGGCGCCTGCGCTGGCCGCTCGATAGCGAGGCGATGCCTGCGCATCATAATTTGACGCGCCTGCGGTGTTTGCGCCAAATCATGCGCGGCGCTTGCGCTGATGAGGCGATGGTGCCTGTGGTGCGCGCGAGAACGCCGCCGTGGTGGGGCCATGCCTGTGCCCCATTATTTGATGTGTCCGCGGCGAATGTGCCGAATTACGCGCAGCACCTGCGCTGATACAGCGACGTTGCTGGTTTCGCGTGGGGCAGGCAGCAGCCACCTGGGCGTGGAAGGCATCGAAGACCGCGCTCGAAAGGTCGACCTTGCGACGGCTCATCTGCGCGCCCACCTCGCTTGCCAGGTCGCGGAGCCTGGACAAAGCGCCCAACCCGCCGTCTGTGGTTGATATTCAATTCTGGAATCTGGAAGTCAGGATCGAGCCCAACTGGCCACGGATGGCCTCGCGTGGATGCGAAGATGATGGCGACGGCGGTGGCGGCGATGGCGACAAGGCAACCCTCGCGGTCGCGATCACGATCATCTACATTGCACCCTTTTACACCGTAACGCGGGTGGGCTCCCACTAAGAAATCCCTGCTCCGCGTTGATAATAACATGATATGGAAAACGCCTGTAGAATAATATCTGTCTCGGGTCAACCTAGTCCCGGGTCAGTCAAGACCCGGAACAGCCCAGAACCGGGTCAGTCAGGCCTTGCAAGATCCTGCAACATCCTGCAGGATCCTGCGCTTAAGCCTGGGTCAATTCCTGCAGGATCCCACAAGATCCGGCGCTTTGACGAACCCCCGTTTGCATTGATCCTCGTATCAAGCTCCCGAGGGAACCACCATTCAGTGCTCCGGGCGACTGATAACCATCGCACATCGTTTGTGCTGTTGTGCTCGTGTTGTCGTGGTCGGGTCCCCGCCCGAATCTGCCCGCGGAGGAGGAGGTGGAGAGGAAAGGGAAAGTGGAGGAAGGCCAGGAGGGGAGGAAGACAGGATCGAACTTGTCCGCAGAAGTTGTCCGCAGTGCTGCTTCCAGGGGGGGAAGAGGGAGGAGGAGGTTCACTGCCCATAGAGGGGAGGAGTCAAGGGGGAAAGAGGGGAAAATCGGGTGGGGGTGCCCATCCGATCAGAACTTTTTGTTCCCAGCCTGAGGTTCCATCCCCCAGGCAGGGCCCGCCGACAGGGCACCCCCCAAAAAAACATCACATGGCCTCAGGGTCGGGATCTCCCTTGGCCTTCCGAGACAGCGCTAACGCACGAGCTTCCAGCTCACGCGCACCAACAGCTTCCACCTCCTCACGGGAGCCCAACCCAAACGCGAATAGCACAGCAGCAAGCTCCATACGAACAGGGGCCGACTGCTCAATGAAAGGGCGCACGCTCGGGCCAGCAGCTGTACGCCCACTACCAGCTGCCAAACCAAAGTGGCTGGACCAGCCCTCGCGGGTGGCCCCGGAGGGGGACCTAACATCGGCGAAAAACGTGCCTGCTTTCGTGGGGTGCTCTCCCCTCTTGAGCCTTAAACGGGACGTGTATGCGGCCCCACCAGAGATCTTACGGGTCCCTTTGCACGGCTCCTTGAGGCCACGCTGGTTCAGCTGGACCGCAAACTGCCAACAAGAGGAGCAGAACAGGACCTGGTCTCCTTCAGAGACCTGGGCAGCCAAAACACTGTGCTCGTTAACCTTCCACGGACTAAGGTGGAGCAAGCCCCTGGACATGGCAGCCTCTCCAAGACCACTCGCCGACACACCCTGGGACGAAGAGGCAACAACATCAGGAGGGAGGCTGGACACAGGAGCGCCCAGGGGCACGGCAGGGGCCTCAGCGTCACAAAGATCGCCGGGGAGCTCTCCAAGGTCCACCGTCTTCAAGTAATCGATGGGCAAGTGGTCTCTCTTCTCGGTGTCTACAGCCATGGCCGTGCACCGCGCCACATACGTCGCCACTTGCCTCGCTACAGCCCTGAACCCCTCCAGGGCTCGGACGTCGGACTCGTCAGCTCTAGCTTGCAACGCCCCTTTTTTGGCAAACGCATCTGCCTGCGAATTCCCCAGGCGGTGGAACGGCGAGATTTTGCGGAGGAGGAGGAGGAGGAGCAGAAAACATGAGGGAACGGCGCGATGGTACTGAGGTGAAGATGAGGAGGGAAGATGGCGAGCAGCAAACTGATGATGATGATGATGATGATGATGATGATGATGATGGTGATGGTGATGGTGATGGTGATGGTGATGGTGATGATGATGATGATGATGATGATGATGATGATGATGATGGTAACGATTGACAGCGGTGATGACGATGACGATGACGATGACGATGCCGATGATGATGATGATGACGATGCTGATGCTGATGATGATGATGATGATGATGCTGATGGGGATGATGATAATGATGTGGCTTTTAAAATGATTCCCCACCCTCCCTTGGTTAGGCTCTCGTTTTGAATAGAGCACCGTGGTCTCCATCACTCACTCACTCCTCCCCCCTCCTCCTTCCTCCCTCCTTTCTCTTCCTCCTCGTTTTTTTGGTTATTCCCGTTTGCCTCGTGAATTATTCCCAACCCTGGGGGCTGCGCTCTGCGAAACTGTCGCCAATTCCGTGGGCTCTCGGGAGGCCCAGCAGACTAACGTCCTACCGGAATCACCATGAGACCTCGCCGTCCCTGGGGGGCTGCGACCTGCTAGACACTCGTGGCTTCGTGGAAAGCCCAGCTGAGTGACGTCCTACGGGGATCACCATGAAACCTCGCTGTCCCTGGGGGGCTGCGATCTGCGGAACTGTCGCCACTTTCGTGGGCTCCTGGGGAGCCCAGCAGAGTGACGTCCTACGGGGATCATCATGAGACCTCGCCGTCCATGGGGTGCTGCGATCTGCGAAGCTGTTGCCTTTTTCGTGGACTCCTAGGAGGTTCAGCAGAGTGACGTCCTACGGGGATCACCATGAGAACTCGCCGTCCCTGGGGGCTGCGATCTGCGAAACTGTCGCCAGTTTCGCGGGCCCCTTGGGAGCACAGCACAGCGACGTCCCACGGGGATCACCATGAGACCTCGCCGTCCCTGGTGGACTTTCGTGGGCTCGTGGGTGGCCCAGCGGGTGTACGTCTTGCGCAGATCACCGCGAGATCACGCCGTCCCCTGGGGGCTGCGATCTGCGGAACTGTCGCCACTGCCGTGGGCCCCTCGGAAGTCCAGCAAAACGACGTCCTACGGGGATCACCATGGGACCTCGGCGTCCCTGGTGGACTTTCGTGGGCTCGTGGTTGGCCCAGCGGGTGTACGTCTTGCGCAGATCACCGCGAGACCTCGCCGTCCCCTGGGGGGCTGCGATCTGCGAAGCTGTCGCCACTTTCGTGGGCTCCTGGGAGGCCAAGCGGAGGTACGTTTTGCGCAAGCCACCACGGGACCTCGCCGTCCCTCGGGGGGGTGCGATCTGCGCAACTGTCGCCACTTTCGCGGGATCCTGGGAGGCCTTGCGGTGCAGATCACCACGAGACCTCGCCGTCCCTGGGGGTTGCGATCTGCGAAGCTGTCGCCACTTTCGTGGGCTCCTGGGAGGCCCAGCAGAATGACGTGCTACGGGGATCACCATGAGACCTCGCCGTCCCGTGGGGTGCTGCGATCTGCTGTCGCCACTTTCGTGGGCTCCTGGGAGGTCCAGCGGATGTACGTCTTGCGCAGATCACCATGAGACCTCGCCGCCCCCTGCATGGGGGGCTGATCTACGAAGCTGTCGCCACGTTCGTGGGCTTCTGGGAGGCCCAGCGGAGGTACGTTTTACACAGATCACCGCGGGACCTCGCCGCCCCCTGGGAGGCTGCAACCTGCGAGACGGCCGCGATTTTCGTGGGGCTCTGCGAGGGCCAGCGGGGTGACGTCTTACGCGGATCCCCACGAGACCTCGCCATCCCCTGGTGGGGCGCGCAGCGAATAACGCATGGCGGGATCCCTTATTCAGCTGCCTGTTGCTTTTTAGTACATGCGGGCACATGCTACGTTTAGCGCAAGCCGCTGTAGTGTCATAGCGCGCAGAGCGCTGTCCTGCAACGCGGGGACAGCGCAAGGCGCTGTTACTCCCACGAATTATGTCTCCACTCGTCCCTCCTCAACATGTTTCCACACCCCCTCGCGGTCGCTCTCCTGCCAAAGACCTGATGATTAAGAGTGACGCCGCATATAGGAAACATCAGAGTCTGGCCCGACGTTCTTTGGCGAAGCATTCAAGAGCATTGCGGATCATTCAATGATGGCCGTTTTGTAGTAAGCGATCCGATGTATACTCGCCACATGCTTACAAAGGGGTGGGTGCGCCCCAGGTTATTTAATATGGTGATGATGATGGTGATGATCTGATGCTGATGCTGATGCTGCTGCTGATGATGATGCTGATGGTGATGGTGATGATGATGCTGTTGCTGCTGCTGATGATGATGGCTAAGAGGAAAAGCAAGAAAACACAACAAGACGATAAGACGGAACAGCCCTATGCCCGTCCTCCGTCAGCGTGCGCCTCAATACTTTGATCGCGGCCTGGGCAACGCGGGGGGGGCGGTTCTGGCGCTCGAGGGACGCTCATGTGCGTGGGCGCGCGCAGGGATGCACCCCATCTCTCGCTCCACGGACGCCACGACACCAAAGAAGGACGCCCAACGCTCGTGCTGCTCGTCCTCCTTTCGGGCACACGCCAACACGGATTAGGGATCCGTGGATCTGGCGCCCACACGATCAACGGACACCACGAAACCAAACCGCCGACCCTTTGGCTCGTGTGAGACGCGTTTCTGTTTGAGTCGTCGTCGTCATCGTCCGTCGTCGTAGTCCCAATGGAACTGAGGAACAAGGGAAAAGAACGAGGCAACTAAATCGACTCCCCTTCCTTTATCCCTGCCCTGCCGGGGGGGGTCAGAAAACCGCCGCCCCGGGGTTTCAGTGGGTCCAAAGAGTGGGGGGTCGCTGGCGGGGGTCCCGGGGGAGATCCCGCCTTCAGGGTCGGCGGCACCGGCCGTAAAGCCTTCGCAATAAGGACGCAACCCTCCTGCTCCTCGTTCTCCTTTCGGGCTCTCGCTAAGGTGGATTAGGGACCCGTGGATCTGGCGCGTGGGCGCCAGATGCACGGATCCCCCGAAATATGGGGCAATGTCGCCTGACTTGGCGACGGAGCACGCCGATTCTGTACGGAAACGGGACCCGTCGCTAACCCACGCGCCTTCATCCATGTTTGCGCTTCCTTGACTCTCCCTCTCCTCCTGGGGGAACCAAAGCTACGCCACGGACCTCTCCCGGGGTTCCCTCTGACCAGAATATAACAGCGAATCCAGCGGTGGCGACGAGGGCTACCCAGGAAGCCCACAAGGGGGAAACGAGGTAAGGGCAGCGGTATCGCCATCTTTTCCTCTTCCCCTCTCTTCTTCCCCCTCCTTCTCGAGTGGAGGTCTCTGGGGCTCTCTTCTGGCGCGCCCAGAGGACCGCAAAATCTCCGCAGGACCCTGGGCGCCCCCTGGAAGCGTAAAGCGTTTAAAACTTCGACCTCGAGCGCCGATCCGCTCCCATTACCCCTCCCTCCTCCTCCTCCCTCTTCCTCCTGCGATCTTCCTCCTCGTCCTCCGCCTTAACCTCATCCTCCTCCTGCTGCTAGTCCTTCTCCTCCTGCTCCTCCGCCTTCCCTTCTCCTCCTCCTCCCCCGCCATTCCTTATCTTTCTCACTAACTCCTCCCTGTCTCACCACGAGTCCAGTCGGACGGGCGGGCTGGGCGTTTCACTTGAAACGTCCTTAACATTCATGAGCCTGAAGCCTAAAAACTGACAGCCGTTTCACAGATGGAGGGCGCGTCCCTTCCAAAATATGGCCCTCGCCTGAGCGGAGGGTACACTCGACTGAAGAAATTGCAGGAGTTTCACGGATTGAGGGCGGCTGGTTTTCAAAACGTGGCTCTCGCCTTTCAGCCGAGCGCATTTGTTTCCAACATTTGCCAAAGTTTCACGGATTGAGAGCGGGTCGTGTCCAAAATGATGCTCTCGCCGTAGCGCCGCACACATCCGACTTAAAACTTACAATATTACCACGGATTGAGGGCGTGTAGTTTTCAAAACGTAGCTCTCGCCTGAGCTCCGCGCGCATTCGTTTTCAATACTTGCCAACAAGTTTCGCGGATTGAGGGCGGGCCGTTTTCATAATGTGGCTCTCGTCTTAGCGCTGCGCAGATTGGTTTACTGGAATTTTGCACGAAATTCATGGATCGAGGGCGGGTGGTTTTCAACATGTGGCTCTCGCCAGAGCGCAGCGCACATTCGTTTTCAAAATTCGCAAGTGCTTCACATATTGAGGTGGCTCCTTTTCAAAATCTGGCTCTCGCTGTGTCGCCGCGCACAACCGCTCTCAAACATGTGCAACAGTTGTACTGATGTTCATGGCAAAAGTACCAGGTATGGTGCTTTGGAGCGGTTCAGGATTGTCAGGGAGCACCAGTTACATTGATTCGCGGTGCTGAAATCCCAGGGCGAGTGTTCTGACACGATTTAGGAACGTCCAGAGGCAACGGTCAGGTTAGCTCGTAGCGTTGAAGTCCTGAGAATGGCGTCCTGGTACGCGTCAAGAGTTTCACACCGTCGTCCTCCGGGGCACTCCCCTCAGTGAAAATCAACTCTTGCAGGGTCCCGTGAGGAGGGAACTTGGAGGGAGTGTATCTCAATATCGTTGATGAGTCTTGGGCCTACACTGGTCCCTCCCCCTTCTCCTTCCCCTCCCCTCCCGCTCCTCTCTCCTTCCCCTCGGGATCCCCCCTCGTGCCCCCTACTGCTGGCAGCACGGCCCGGCCCCGTTCTGAGCCGACGGCAATTTCTCTGGCCTGACTGGAAGAAGTAGGGAATATCTGAAGTACGACTGTTCTGAAGGATGTGTCGGGCGCCACGGCCCTCTCAGAGCGTTCCAGAAACACCGAGGGCGTCCTAGACACTCGGGAACGAGATCCTGGACCCGACATACCACGGCGTGGCGCAATTCGAAAAAACGGCCAAGCTGGAAACTGGGCAAGGTCTGGGGACTGAATGTCACCAGGTATTGTTCTACGAAGCGCGATGCCGCCACATTCCCCCCAAACCTCCGCCGACCTCAACAACTTAAGGCGGAACAATTTCGTCGTGCTAGCCCCTGGGGGCATTTCAGGCTGTAGAGGCCCCTGTCAGCCTCTCAAAGGTCCCTGGGTACCTCCGAAAGCCGAAAGTACACCGCAAGCGTCCCAAGACCTTCGGATCTCATCATCCCTCCTCCTCCTTCTCGAGCGTAGATGGGGCGGACCAGGTCTGCATGAGCATCACCTCGTGCCGCATGCAGGCCGTTTGGCCTGGAAGCATACGTCCCCACTTAGGCATGACAAGCGGCCTCGGAAACAAGCGGGGTAGAAGGGGAGCAGAGCATGATATGACACATAATTACAACCAGGAATTAACAAGGACTCGCGAGAGGGCTGGAGAACGCCGAATCTAGCCGCAATATTTGGAATAGGGGAGATCCGACAGTCAACATCAAAATCTCTTCCTCCTTCTCCTGCTGCACCCTGCTCTCTGGGCCTTCATGAACGTCCAGCACTTGGTGCACAGCTTGGAGCCCTTGCAGCAGGTTCGGACGCTGTCGTAGTCGTCCATGTCGATGTCGAAGACGAGCTCGCGCTCCAGCGGCTTGTAGGCGTCCTCCCCGCTCGTTCCTCCTCCTCGTTTTCCATCCTCCTCGCTCCTCACTCCAATTCCTGCTCCTCCTCCTCCTCCTCCTCCTCTTCATCGTCATCATCATCCATCTATCCGTACTCCTCCTCGTCCTCCCCCGCCCCTCCTTCCTCATTGTCCTCCCTCCTTTTTCCCCTCCTCCTCCTCCTCCTTCTCCTCCTCTTCCTTCTCCTCCCAGCACTGAATCCTGCTCCAGCTGGAGTTGCTGATGGTGCTGCTCCTCATCATCCTCATCCCTCTTTGTCCTCCACTATCTTCCTCGTGCCTCCTCCCCTTCCCCTCCTCCACCGCCTCCTCCTCATCCCTCCCTCCCTCCCTCCCTCCCTCCCACCCTCCCTCCTGCTTGCCCTCCATCCTCCTCGTATGTCTCAAGTTCTTCCTCCATGCTCCCCCTCTGACCTTTTCCTCCCTCTCCTTCTTCTCCTCCTCCTACTACCAATCAACTATCGTTTTATCCCACCAGCCATTTGGACGATGGTGGTTTAAGGAGTCAGTTATTCCAACCTCCTTCTCCAACCTCGGGAAGAGGTTAATCTCCCTGCTCAGAGCGTCGAAGATCGCGGATCCCCCGACACACGGCCGCATCCGCCGAGAGTCGCCAAGGAGTGCCCAGGCACCTGCGCCAGACAGGCAGACCTGCCACACGCCTCCTCTGCCTTCTCCCTCCTCGTCCTCCACCCCTTCTCTCCTCCTTCTCGTCGTCTGCTCCTTCTGTTTCTCCTCCTCTTCCTGCTCTCCTTCTCCTCCTCCCCTCCTCTTCTCCTCCTTCTCCTCCTCCTCTCCTCTCCTCTCCTCCTCCTCCTGCTCTCCTTTCTCTTGCGCAGGCCGCTGGGCGAGCTCGGCACCCGTGGCGTCAGGATCGGCCGGCGCACGCGCCGACCAAGTAAGGAGCAGGCGCCACAGCGAACAGGGAGCATGAGCGAGGAGGAAGGGCAGAACGATGGTGGACGCCTCCCCGGCCTCCAGCACCACGGGTGCACAGGGCGGCCCTCGGACGGCCCCGGGAATCCTCGGAAACGCCCTGGAACGCTTTGGAAGCGCCCGGTTGGTTCGGGCGTGCCGGCGTGCCCCACCACAGGCGGACTTCGACGACAAATAACACATTGCTAAAGAAAACAAATGTCCCCAAACTGGTTTTGACTATTTTTGAATATTCCCCGACTTAAGGCCGGTAACGCTCGTACTTTCACCCGCGTGGCGCGCTCCAGGAAGACCCCGGGGGCCGCTGCATACTCCTCCTCCGCCCTTCCTGCTGGAAACTTCCCTCTCCTCCTCCGCCGCCGCGGAGCTGCGCCGAAAACAACGCGCAACCCGCCGGCTCGGAAACGGCAGCACGCCCCCGCTGAGAGCCTCAGGGCAACGGCGGCGGCGGTCTCTGGGCTGGCCTGTGGCCAAAACTGCTGTCCGCGAGCTGATGTGACAAGCCCCCCGCCCTCCGCATCCTGCCTCCTTCCGCGCCTCGTCCCCCTCCCCCTCCCCCTCCCCAATCGTACGCCTGTTCTCCTCGTCCTGCTCCGATCTCCCGCTCCCATCACCTCCCACCTTAAGACGAAGCCAAGACGAGGATGACATCGGGTGAAGACAAATCGGGATTCTCTGAGATCCGGCGACACTGGAGAATCTCTGGGGCGCAGCGGCCTCCTCAGAATGTTCCAGAACGCTCTGGAACGCACTTGTCCTCGTCCTAGCCCCGTCCGACACCACCTCCCGCCTCCCTCCCGGAGCCTTCATGACCGTATGATGGTTCTTTGGCGGATGTGTGTTCACCGCGCCGATCTCCATCCGGATCGGCTGCTGCGCCATCACTTTCTGCCTGCACGGGGCGCGGCGGCTCGGATCTCCCAGTGCTGACACACTTCGTTCGGATAACTGTCACGGCTGCCCCTGCGGCAATCCGTCCGTCCCTCCATCCGCAGATGATCTTTCCCAACTGACAGACCTTGCATCGGCTCGTCCATATTGCCATCGCTCGAACGTTTGTTTGGTGTTTGTCGCAAACTTATCCAATCTGCTCCTCGATGGTCCTCGCCAAAGAAATGCACACGTCCGAGCGATGCAAATCCATACGTAGACCTCTCTCTCTCTCTCTCCCTCTCTCCGTGTCCCCGCCTGCCTGCCAACCCAACCACCCTGTCTGTCTATCTGTCTGTCTGGAGCCCGGTCCCTTCTGAAAGGTCTCGTCCTAGGATCGTGCAGACACCAAATTGCAACCCACGCGTCGGGAGAGAAAGAGAGAAAGGCAGAGGGAGAGAGAGACAGAGGGAGAGAGGGAGACACAGAGAGAGAGAGAGAGAAAGAAAAAAAATACGAGAAACAAAGAGAGAGAGAGAGAGAACGAGAGAGAGCGACGCCATCAGCACGACAACATCAATCGTCCCTACTGCCCGTTCATCCCTCCCTCCGTCCTTCCTGCTCGTCCCACCACCGCCGCCTCTCACTCACTCCCTCCCCTTTGCTTGGCTCAAGATTGTTTGGCTAAAATCTGTTACACCACCCGTGTTATACTATCCGTTCTCTCAACACCCAACATTCCCAACTTTCCGTACCCATACCCTTATCTTCCGATGGCCTGTGCGAGCTCGCGGGCGTCAGGGACACGGGTTCGCGCAGTCCTCGCGCGCGACGTCCGACGCCGCATCAGATCAAGGCGCTGGAGCTTCAAGTCTCCATGCTGATGACCCCGCGCGGCAACAGTACAGATAACCAGGAGAAGGATAAGACGATCGTGATCGGGGGGGGGGTGCGGCATTTCGAAGACCTCGACGGGGCGAAGAATTGGGTGACTAATAAACTATGTGAATCTTGTGGGCCTCGACCGGAGGAGATATACGCGAGAAGGGAATTCAAGGGGATCGTTTTCGGAAGATTGACCGGGACACGGCGGTGAGTTTCTTCCGGAAGGGCAAGTTCAAAAAGGGGGGGAACGACATGTGGGCTAAGCCGGACCAGTCCCTCCCAGACCGGGTCATTTCGAGCTTCGTGTTTGGGGTGAAGCACTTGCTTAAACAATGGGGTCGCGCTGGTCAGTCTGTCTGGGCCGATCCTGTGGAGGGCAAGGTTTAGGTTGGGGATGACATTGGCATTCAGGCCAGCATCATTTCCGACAAGTTCCACGTTAAATATGGGCGAGGGTGGGAGGAGTGGCTCACGGACTCCGAGTTCCCTGACTTCCCCGAGTTCGTGAAGAAGATGGCCCGCAAACTCGAGAACTTCTCGTCCAAGGGATCCGGCAAAGCCGCAACCAAGGGAACCTTCAAAAGGAAGTGGAAGGGGAAGGGCGCCCACGCCATGTAGGGGTGCCAGCGGTGTGCAAGCAGAGACGTTTCACTCCAGCGTGCTTGGGATCATGTGCCTGACTTGCACGTTCTTCAGGACGCTCTTAATACCAACATCCATGCAGCTGAAGCGGAGCAGCCTGGTCAAGCCAAACTGCCACTCGCCGCATGCAGGGGCGGACGTTTATTCCCCTCAACTTCAGAATTCACGATTGTATCTTGGAGCATTGAAGGGTACACAGATTCGAGACATATCGAATTAGAGAGAATCATGATTGATAACGAGATCGGGGTGCTGTGCGTACAAGAGACTTGGCAATTGAAGTCCAACACGTTCGTGACATAATCAAACTTCTTGGTCATCATGTCGAGCGGGATCGACGGAGATAGCGAGAGAGCCGGAGTGGGGTTCCTAGTGGCTCCTTGGTTCCGGAGATCGGTAGTAGGATTCTGCCAGGCTGATTCAAGAATGGCGTCGTTGAAAGTACGCGTCCCTGGAGGCAAGGCTGTTGTATTCTCAGCATATGCGCCTCATAGTGGTAAGCCTTTTGATCAAAGACATACTTTCTTTCATGACCTGGCTGAATTCGTCGAGTCCAAATCGGCAAACGGACCCAAATTGCTAATAGGCGATTTCAATGCGAAACTTCACTACCGCATGGATGGTGAACACGCTGTGGTGGGCGAGCACGTCCTGCTGAGCCCGGGCACGGGGTGCAAGAACGATGCCAATAGACATTTGCTTGTGGAGACGCTCACACATCTCAACATGTGCCTGGCCAACACTTTTTTCGAGACCTCGATTGGCGGCCTGGCAACCTGCTACAACGTTGGCACGAAAGCAGGCGCCCCGGTCAGCGGTCAGACTCACTCGCAGATCGATTTCTTCTGTTGTGGGCAGGGCTGGCTGCATAACGTCAGAAGTGCGACTTTTTGCCCAGAGGCGCCACTATCATCGTATCACTTCTTGCTGCAAGCCTCCGGGCGCATGGAGGTCGACAAACGCTGCGTGGAAGAACTGGCATGTCGCCGTGACCACGGCGCCCCGGCCGACAAGAATACCAGGCAGATCTTTGCAAGATGTCTGGGCGAGGTTTGGGACAGCTACGAAGAGGCCTCCCCGAACGACTCTGACGTGAACCTAGCATGGTGCCGAATGGTTGATGGCTTCGTACATGCGGAGACGACTGTCTTGCCGCAGGAGCCGATTCGCCCCCGCAAACCATGGATCAGCAGCAGCACGTTGGAACTCGTGCGGTTGCGGTATCGGGCCAGGCGGGACGCGGATGCCCCGCGAGAGCGTGACATAGCGAAACGAATCCGAGCTTCCGTGGCCAGAGACAAGGCGAATTGGCTCGAGGATGTAACCAGAAAAGGAGATTGGGCACAGATCCGCAGACTGCGCAAGGGCCGCCAGCATGCCCAGGGAAGACTTCGCACGAACGAGGGCGAGCTGGTGGACAGCGACCGCAGGGCAGATACACTTGCGCAACTGGGGCCTTCGGTGGAGCTCCCTATGGGGCCGCGAAACGCTGCCCTGGGTGGGGGAACCGCATGCGAGAGTAGCCACTGGGGCCTTCGGTGGAGCTCCCTATGGGGCCACGAAACGCTGCCCTGGGTGGGGAACCGCATGCGAGAGCAACCACTGGGGCCTTCGGTGGAGCTCCCTATGGGGCTACGAAACGTGTGAGGGGTGTGCCGAGAGCAGAGGCAAAGAGGGGGAGGGAGGAGGGAGGGGGCAGCGGGAGGAGGAGACGCGGGGCACCGTCTCTTCAAAACGAGGACCCAACACCACAGGATGGTTGGGAACAAACGATCGGGCGGCTTGGACGGCTTGCCACCCGAATTCTGGAAAGCGTCTGCTGAGGATGGACAGTCAGCCCCTGCATGGTCACGCGTTTCTGTAGCGTGGTCTGGTCGCAGGCAGCGGTGCCAGACGCATGGCACAAATCGCGGGTTCGCATGATCTGCAAAAAAGGCGACCCTGCAATTTGCGACAATTACCGGCCGATCAGCTTGCTGCCGATAGGGTACAAGGTCTTCGCGATTATGTTGTTGCAGAGGCTGAAGGACGCGGGTGCAGAGGACAAGATTTGGCCCACTCAATTCGGCTTCCAGTCCAAGCGCGGTACCTCGGACGCGATCTTCGTGGCCAGGAGGGTGCTCGAGGACGCGTGGGCCATGAAGGAGGGGGCCGTCCACCTACTGGCGCCTGATTGGGCGAAGGCTCTCGATTCCGTGTCACCCGCAGCAATGGCGACGTCGCTTCGGCGGTTCGGGTGCCCTGCCAAGCTCGTAGACGTGGTGAAGGCGATCTACGAGGACAGAAAATTCGTCGTGTCTGACTTCGGCTCATCATCCGGAGAGCGGCGGCAAAGGTTCGGTATCTGCCAGGGGTGCCCGCTGTCTCCATTCCTGTTCACCATCGTCATGACGACGCTGCTGGAGGATGCGCACGCTCGGCTACGCAGGCGACTGCCGGACATTCCCGACGCGCACCTTGTGCGAGACCTGGTGTATGCCGATGACACCCTCTTGATGGACGCGAGCCCTGTCGTCGTGCAGGAGCTCATGTCCTGCGTGGAGGAGTGCGGGAAGCAGTACGGCCTGAGCTTGAACTGGAACAAAGTGGAAATGATGAGAGTCCGCTCAGACGCACACGTAGTGAACAGCGTTGGAGACACGAAGAAAGAAAAGGACCCTTGCTGTATCTCGGGGCCCACATCTCGTCAGACGGCCGTAGTGGCTCTGAGTTGAATCGGAGATTAGGCGCGGCAAACCAGGATTTCAATATGTTGCATGCAATCTGGTCTCACGCAACATTGTCTCGGGAACGAGAAGTGAAGATGTTTAACGCATGCATCGTTTCAAAATTATGCTACTGCCTTTTCGCCGCTTGCCTGAACACATCAGAGCGGAAGAGGCTGGACGGATTTCAAACCAGGTGTTTAAGACGGATTTGCAGAGTGCAACCTGCGTGTAGAAGTCGCGTGTCCAACAGCGCCGTACTGAGCATGGCCGGCGAAAGGCCGCTGAGCGAAGCCATTGCTAAGCGACAAATGGTTTTCCTAGGGCAGCTCGCGAGGCGACCCTGCAACGACCCTGTGCGATGCTCCGTTCTACAGCCCGGCGGCATTAAACCGCGATTGCCGACAGGGCCTCGCAAACGAAGGCGCCCCCGACAAATGTGTGGCAACATGATTCTGAACAACTATTTAAGAATAGCCGGCACCCGCGGCCGCTTAGCTGATTTCTTCCGGCCGGAGGCCAGTGCAGCAGCGGCGTGGGAGTCGGCGGTGAAAGCATGGCGCGACTGACCGGTCGCTTGTCCATGGAATCCATTGTGCGTGCTTCCTGCTTGTGCACCGTCTGGTGCTAGCTCTCCCCCTCCCCCTCCTTCTCCTCCTCCTCCTCTTTCTCTGAGTCACCTTAGTGTGACCGGCGCCACGCCTTTTTGACGTTTCACTTTGCTCACGCACCAGCCGGTGCAAGGCTTACTTGACTTGACTTGTCTCGTCCTTCCTCTCATCGCCACCATGACCTCCCCCTCCCTCCCTCCATCCATCCTCTGTCCCTCCTCCCTCCCGCCCCGCCCCCTCGTGCCACCACCGCCACCTCTCCCTACCTGATCTCCCCTTTCTGCCTCTCTCCATCCCTCCGCCTGTCGTTTCTCTTGTCTCTCTCTCTCTCGCTCTCATCGCCTGGTGGAGGGGAGAGGGAGCGGTGGTGATGGTGGTCGGAAGTTGTGGTAGTGGGAGGGAGATGAAGGCGAAGTGGTGCAGGGAGGGAAGCGGCATGGAACGGGAACGAGGAAGAAAGAGAGAGGGAGAACGACGGGATGAGGGGAGTTACCACCACCATGCCATGCCGTCTCTGCTACCAATCAATGCCTTCGCCAGTCTTCCTGCCACCGCTACCTCTCCATCAATATCTCTCGCTTCCCTTCCTCCTTCCTCTCCTCTCGTCCCCACTCACATCACCATCGCGAACACCACTACATCTCCCAATCTCTCTCCATCCCTCTCTCTCGCCCTCGCACTCCTCCCTCCCTCCCTCCTGCACCCTCTCTCTCTCTTTCTCTCTCGCTCCCCTCCGTACCAGCACGATCACGTAGGGGGAAATGAACGTTGGAGGGGAATAGGAGACAACTCATGGGAGGCCCCTGTGAGAACGATTAAAAGCTATTGAGCCCGATTGAAGTGCCATTAAGCCAGACTAGCCAGGATTAAGCCGGGGAGTAAACCAGATGAAAAGGGAGCCGACCGGATGAAACAAGATTATGCCGAATTAGGCCGGTTTGCGACCACTGGTATGCCAGCGACGAGGCTGAGTTGAACCTCCCAGGAGGGTGGAACAGTAGAGGAGAGGGACATATGATAGGCGGTGGTGGTGCGATGGGCAGGCGGAGGAAGCGATGAATACAGGCGGGTGGCGGCGGTGATGGCGGCTATGGACAATCATAACCACCGCCACGAGAGAGAGAGAGAGAAAGCGATATACATTTATTTATTTATATAAATATATATATATATATGTACTAGAACCACGCGCGCGCTTCGCGCGCGCTTAGGTTCTAGCTAAGCTTCACGGTCGAACTTTGAAGACCTCTGTTGTGTGATCAATCTCACTGGGGCACCCAAGAACTACGCCAACGGCCCAAGTGACTTTCAAGACCTCCCGAGGCCATCCCACAGCGACCTGAGAATGGGCCAAGAAATCGTCGTCGTCGCATGTATGTGATGTATAAATAGACGTATATGTATATGCATGTGTCTATGTGTGTATGTGTGTATCGTTGTGTAGGTATGTGTATAGTGTTTTATAATACGTGTACATGTGCACATATATATATACGCTTATACGCATATGTATATATGTATGTGTTTGGGTATATTCATAAACACGTGTACACGTCTATGTTGTAATTCTGCATGCGCAACTGTAACTATATATATGTTTGTGTATAATTGTCTGCCCCTTGGGGAAATAATGGGGGCCTCTTGGACCATCTTCATAACCGTGACGGCCCCCAAATCGTATATGCTTCAAATGCACGCTTCGCCAACAGGAGTGTAACGAATTTGGTCTCTTGGGGTCCTCTTGGGAGTGCTCTTGGATGCCTCTTTGGACGTCTCGGAACCTTCTTGGACCTTCTTGGGGCCATCTTGGGCGACTCGGGGCCTTCTTGGGCTTGCTTGGGGTCCGTTTTGGGGCTAACTTGAGCCGTCTTGGGCAGCCCTTGGGCCGTCTTGGCCCCCTCTTGGGCTGTCTTGAGGGCCTCTTGGGACTGTCTAAGGCTCTCTTGGGCAAATCTTGGGAGCCTCTTGGGCCGTCTTCGAAGCCGTGAAGGCCGAAACATCGCATATGATTAACATGTACGTTTCCCCGTCGGGATTCAACGATTCTGGCTTCTTGGGGCCCTCCTGGGAATGCTCTTGGAGGCCTCTTGGGACGCCTCGGAGCCTTCTTGGACCGTCTTGGGGCCATCTTGGGCGACTCGGGGCCTTCTTAAGCCGTCTTGGGCGCCGCGTCTTAGGCGGCCCTTGGGCCGTCTTGGCGCCCTCTTGGGCTGGCTCGATGGCCTCTTGTGAACGTCTTGTGTCTTGGGGAAGTCTTGGGAACCATTTGGACCGTCTTGATGCCGCGACAGCTCAAAAGTCGTACGTGCTAAAAATGTCCGGTCCCCCCTGGGAATTTAATGATTTGGGCCTCTTGGGATCCTCTTGGGAGTGCTCTGGGAGTCCTCCGGGGCCGCATTGGGCAGCTCGGGACCTTCTTGCGCCGTCTTGGAGGCCTCTTGGAACCCTCTTGGCTCGTTTTGGCACCCTCTTGGCCTCTCTGGGCCGCCTCTGGGGAGCGAAACGGGGCGGGGGGGTATCAGCGGGCTTCCGCCGATGGTTGCAGGGTCGGCCGGCCCAGGCCGAGGGGGGGCATATTCATTTATATGATGTATATATCCAGCTGCCTGCGGCAAGTCTCGCCGCCGTGCCATCCCAACATTCTGGGTGGCGACTGTTCGAGCGGGCGCGGGAAGCCGTCGCGTGTGTCACCTCGTCACCAGGATCTGGAGGGCGGTCGTGATGGGGACGCTGAGGACCATAAGGACGATGGAGATGTTGACGTTGATGATGATCAATGATGATGATGACGATGATGATGGTGACGATGATGGTCGATGATGATGATGACGACGATGCTGATGACGGTGATACTGGTGATGACGATGATTGTCATGTTGGTGTTGTTGTTGTTGATGATGATGATGATGCTGATGTTGGTGACGATGATGTTGATGATGGGGATGGGGATGCTGATGATGGCGATGACGAGGATGATGCCGGTTATGGTTTTGTTGCTGGTGATGATGATGGCGATGACGATAATGCTGATGATGCCGATCACGATGATGCTGGTGGTAGTGATGATGACGATGCTGCTGCTGATGATGATGCTGATGCTGCTGATGATGATGATGATGCTGCTGACGCTGCTGCTGAAACTCGGTTGGGCCATATTGGGGCTGTCTTGGCCTCCTGTGAAGCCATTTTAAGGATCCTCTGGGGCCTTCTTGGGCCCCCCTCTCGCCGCCTTGGGGTTCTCTTGTGCCGTCTTGGGGCCCTCTCGGCCGTATGGTGGGCGTCTGGGGGCCGTCCTGGCGCCGTCTTGGGCCGTTGAAGGGCCTTCTAAGGTCGTCTTGGGTCCCACGTGCGGCCCTCTTGGGCCGTCTTGGATGCCCCTTGGGCCATCGTGGAATCCTTTTGGGCCATCTTGAGTTGACGGCAGCCCGAAAGGGCCAGAATACGAAAATCATTCAACCACGCATGGGACATTCACGATTTTGGTTTCTTGGGACCCTGGTGGCGGTTCTGTTGTGGCTCTCATGGGCCCTGTTGCAGGCATCTGCGGCCGTCTTGAAGCAATGTTCGGCCGCCTTAGGGCCATGTTGGGCCATCTTCGAAACATCTTGGGCCATCTTGGTGTCTTTGGTTGCCTGCACGGCCGCCTTGGAAGCTCGGGACGCATATCCGTTGTTTTAAACGAGGGGTCGTAGCGTGGGAGGCCCTGGAGCGCTTGGGAGCAGCGCCTGGGAATGCGGGACATGCACAATCTTCGCGCGGTGGCGCGTGGGATGAGGGCTGTAGAAAATAGCAGCCATGCGGGAAATGCACCATCCTCAAGTGGGCGCGCATGTAATGATGTAGCTGCCATGCGGGAAGTGTACCGTCCTCGAGCGGGCACGCGTGGAAGGGGGGCTCAGGCATTCGCATGCGGAAGTGCACCATTGTCGAGCGGGCACGAGGAACCTTGCCTCGATGATTGGGGAGGTGCACGCGACAGTCCGCGGGCAAGCGGGGGGGCGGATAATTAAAACATCTACCAGGCAGACCTTGGCATATTCTTCAACGCCTCAACGTGCACAAGAATGTACTGTGGCGGCGACAGAGCGAGAGAGAGAGAGAGAGAGAGAGAGAGAAAAAAAGAGAGAGAGAGAGAGAAAGAGAGAGAGAGAGAGAGAGCAGGCGAGAGAGAGAGAGAGAGCGAGTACGAACGAAGGACGGAAGGAAGGAGGAAGGGAGAGTCTCGCAACCTGCCTGAACTCGTCGGCGTCCTTGAAGCACTGGTAGCGGCAGAAAATGTCCCCCTGCAACACGAAAGTCCACTCGCGGCGGAAGAAGAAATCCTCGCGGGGGCTGGGGGCAGCCGGGCGCGCAGGGGGAGGCCCGAGGAGGGGGAGGGGGGGAGAGAGCAGGGAGCCAGGGCGGGAGAGGGGAGGACGAGTGACAGCGAGGAGACCGCGTTGGGTCGACACGTGGGGGGAGCAACGTGAAGGGAGGGAGAGGGGAGGACGAGCAGAGGAGTGACAAGAGCGGCGAGACCGCGTTGTCGACGCGCGTGCCTCGGGGCCGCGCGCTCGAGCGGGGAGCCACGCGGACGCCGCAGCCTCGTGCGCGTGCGCACGCGCGCGGGGGGCGGCCGTGCCGACGCGCTCCCGCAAGGCTCCACGAGGTGCGAAGAGGGACATCCTGCAGGGAGCGACGGGGAAGGGAGAGGCGCGGGAATGCCGAGGAGCACCTGCCGGACCACCCCAACCTGACCCGAAGACCTGCGCGTGTGTCCATCTGTTCGTGGATGCCACGACAATGGGCACCCAAAGAGCCCTATCGTTGAATTGAAAACATGTGTTTAAAAGGTAGGACGCATGTCCTAAACGTGTTTTTTACATGCTTAACACATGTTTTACACATGTTTTAATCATCTGGAAATTCTTTGGCAACATGCTTCCTCTCCACTGATCGTCCTTCACAACCATATATGTGTGTCTTCAATGTACCCCGACGCCCCCCCCCCGCACCGAGACTTGAGGGCGAATTGGGGCGTTTGGATCGGGCTTGGGGGGATTCGTGGGAGGTGAAGCCGGAGGAGAAACACACTGCTGTAGAAAGACTGCGCTCGGAGCTCCAAGCGGATTTTTGCTGGATCGGCGCTGGACGGCGCGGGAGGGGGCTCCAACTCCTATCCAAGAGATCTGCGCGGAGCTCCGACAAATTATGTTCATGCGGTTGCTCTTGTTTTCGGAATAAGGATCTGGAGGACGAGGATCCGAAACGAGGACAGGGGAAAAGGAGGAACAGCAGGATGCGGACGACGTCCGAGGGCGCGTGTCCTTCTCCACGAGCTTGCTGTCGCTCTTGGGGTTGTTCCTGTAGCTCAACCATCTGACCTGTGCGGCCCAACAAACAAAAACAATACGGGCGCCGATGAGAGCGTTTGAGCCCTTCGGAAAGAAAATGCCTCCAGACACCTGTGCGATGCGATCCTGCCGTTCCATGCTGGAGGGAACCAATAATCAATTGGATGCGAGAGAGCTCCGAGAGGACCTTGCGCATCTACAAACGAAAGCGCTCTCTCCCGACATGCAGAGCAACAGGTGAAGCCATGAGTAATTAATCGCCGTGTCATCGCATACAAATATGTACATGTTGTTCCACGTTGCCTGAGGTCGCCGCCATAAGTGATGCCGCTAGTGCCAAATATTATTATGGCTCCAGATACATGCACACAGGAGACATTTGAAATGCGAATGTACTAAGGAACACGCTCGTAGCGCCTTCCCGCCTCCCCTCCGTAGTGACACACGCGCAGCCGCCGTTGCCAACAAGCCAGGGGTGCACGCACTGAGGCTGGCACGCACTCTGGCGCACATGCTTTGGCCACCGAACACAGGGGGTCGTGCCGCAAACGGTCACGATCAAGAGCGCACCATAAGTGACGCGGCGCGCTCTGCGCGGGCGGGCTGGGCCCTGGCGCTGTCCCGCGGGTTGCTGGGCTGGTACTGCTCGGAGCCACCCAGCCCGCAGGACTAATCAAGGCTAGCTCATGACTGTCTCTTCCCGGGGGCTGCCGTTTCTCTTCTGGCTTCATCCTCCTCTTCCTGCTCCTCCTCCTCCTGCTCCTGCTTCTCGTCCTCCTCTGTTTCCTCCTTTGCCGCTGGGCCCCTGGGCTTCGCTGGATGGGATAGAATGACGAGGCGCGCTCGGTCGGTGCCCCCATGTGCCCTTCACGATGGACTCGACAGGACCGCCCCCGAACCGAGCTTGCCCACGTGCCTCCCAGATCGGCGCGGGGGCCACCACCACGAGCCCGACGGCGAGGGCAGCCCCTCAGCAGGAGCCGAGCGAGGCCCACCGGCCCCCTTGATTAGGGGGCAAACGAACCCACCTCGCTTTTGACCACGCTCGCTTCCAAGAGCTACGAAGCGATGCCAAACTACGGTCCGCACTGGTCAGGCCGCTCGAAGGGGAGGCGCGTGGTATGACTTGGTTTTGCCTGGAAGCGAAAGCGGGGTAGGTAATTCACTCTCTGATTGATGGCTGGCATGCCATTAGTGCGGACAGCACCAAAGTGGACGTTGCCACAGCAAGCGCTGTCCGAATCGGCCGGCGGCTGCTGACGCAGAAGGCGAGGCCCTTCGCCGAACGGACCGCGTGCGCCTCGAGGCCCACAGCGAATGCTGTCCAAAGGGAACGACCAGGAGGCAGGAGAGCCCAAGGAATCCAAATCGGAATCCGAAATCGAATCGAATCCGAATCGGAAGCCACCGAAATCGAATCGAATCTAATCGGAGGAATCGAAACCAGCCCTGGGAGGTGCTGTCAGTTAGCGTCGCTGAAGGGGCAGCGTTAGCAGGGGGAAACAGGCTCAAGGCTGGCCCCCGAGAGCGAATCTGCACGCTCCTCGGGTACCCATCAGCGAGCAATGGGCGATGGGGGTCGAGGCGTCACCCCTGAGCCTACCCGGCCCCCTCCTATGTTGCCCCTGAAGCCCGACTTCGGGCGCCCACAGGTTTTCGGCGCGCGGAAAGCAGAACATGCTGTCTGAAACCAAGCGGCCGCTGTTGGACAGGCCGACCTTCTGTCCCAAACGGGCACCGTCCGCGGCGACGCCGAGAGCGAAGCCTGTTCACAATGAGCAAGGCGCTGCTGTTGAACTTTGTACCCATGCGCGAGCAAGGTGGAGACAAAAGGACGTATTGCAAGACGAAGAGGGGCCATGAGATCTGGGGAGATATCATGGCCCTGGTCATGATAACCCCCCATGCATCACCCCCCTGCTCGCCGCCTGGTGGAATTCGGGCCGTCACTCGGGCCTCCAGCGGCCGTTCGGGACGAGCAAGGCATCGCCGGAAAGCTCTTGACGAGACGCAGCTGCTGGAAGGCATCCTGATACGAGAAAGCCGACGACAACTTCCCCCCCCCCTCCCCCTTCGACGACGGAAAAACGTCATCGCCCCCCCCTCTTGGCCACCCCCTGAGCTGGGCGGCAAGCCATGAGCTGGAACGGGAACAGCCGGTCGTAGTAGATCCGCAGGAGCTCGGGGCTGAAATCCTCGTTCCTCATGACCTGGATGGGGGGCGCCGGCGCGGACGGGGGCACGGGCGCCCGCGGGAGAGGCCTCGCCGCGCTTCCCGCCGCTCCACTCCTCTCTCCCCTTGTCGGCGGCGCGCGAGTGGGGGAGGTGAGAAGGAGACGGCCTTCTCAGCAGAAGACGGCCCGGGCTCGCCGTCGACTTTGGGGTCATGTGAATCCAAAACATTGTTGAAAAACCTCTGGGGCCAAGAAACAAAAATAGTTTAGCGCCCCAAGATCGCCAGAGCCACGGCTAGACATCATGCGAATCATAGCGCAACCAACAGCAACTGGAGCGCCGCAACTCCGCAGCCGTCGCAGCCGATGCAACCGAGAGGGGAAGAATACTGACACGTTCGACGCCCGCAGCGCTATTCCCCCCCTGAGGAAGGGGGTGGCCCGCTTTAGAAGTCTGGGGCTAACACAAGTGGGAGGAGCCCTCTGGGTGGGGAAGGGCGAGGAGATGGCGAAGGGGAACAATAGATGATGGCGACGTTCTGATTTTGTCGGAACGGGGTCCCCAGATGTCTCGACTCATTTCCCTGGACGTTTTTTTCATCCCGAGTCGCTTTTTAACGGTCCTGGGGCCCAGCGATAGGGGGGAAGGGCCCCCCCTGGAGGAAGAACAACTGGATAAACATTAACTTTCGGAGGCTTGCGCGGATTTCTTCGGCACTTCACCCCCCTCACTGGAGCACGGAGCACGCCAGGGGCGGCGCCTGAAGCGCCGCCAGGTGCCCAGCGCCGAACCAAGAAATCCGCACGAGGCTCTGAAAACTTGATGTTGATGCGATTTGTTCTTGGTGAACCCCATCTTGGTGCCCCCTCTGCCTCCCTCAGTGGCGAGCCCAGGATGGAAATGAGAGGGGGCTGGACTTCTCAACGGCGTTCTCAGCAGCCCTCTCGCGCGTTCTGAGAAGCCGCCTCTGTCTTCGGGAAAGGCTCAGAAGAGTTCTCAGAAGGCGCGAGGGCTTCTGAGAAGCCCCGCCGCCTTCTAAGAAGGCCTGCCCCCCCTCTCGGAAACCCCCGTGTCTTTTTGGGGTCCAACTCAACTTTCCAGCGGCCGTTCGGGACGATCTGGGCAACCCTGGAACGCCCTCGGCGAGGCCCAGCTGCTGGAACGCACCCCGAGGCTGGAGAACCTCTGGGAACCGACGAAAACGTCAGAATTCCGGGAACCGACGAAAAAAGATTCTAGAGGCAACGACCAGAAGGGACTGGCATAGGGGGGACACATCGACCTGGAATCGGCATTGGGGGGACACATCGACACGACGCGAACCTGCCGTACGCAGCTCCTCTTTTCCGATTGCGCCGCGCAGTACGATGGGGATTGTATTTGGCCTCCAGGCCCACCATGACACGCGTGCGCAGATAGAGAACACATCAGCGCAACGGGAAGGAGTGCAAAGGACTGGGGAGGATGTCAGATGTGGCGCGAGCGCACCTAGCTTGCCTCCTCCCTCCCCTCGCTCCTCTTGGAAAGGCTTCGCTCCCCCTCCCCACACGTCAGTCTTCACCCGCAGGCGACGCGGCCTGGAGTGCTGGGCGACCAGATGGAGGCCACGACGCATGGCCAGTGCCTCGTACGCTGGGACTTCTATGTGGAATGATCCAAACCTTTGCCGCGTCTGTTCTTCGGAACCAAACCTTTTGGCGCTGCGGCCGTGGGGCGACACATCCCCTGCTCTTCGTCCTCTCCCGGTGGCTCTCGCAGAAACCCGGTTTGCAGTGTCCTGGTCCCAGGGTCCCTGACATGGAGTGGCGCACTCTGCGCCCGTTGCCACCCCCCTCGGGGGGGAACGCTAGGGAGGACTGGCTGAGAGGGGGGAACATCGAGCTGGAATCGGCAAAACATCGCCGATAGGCCCCCGATAGAGAATCTGGACGTTCCTGGGCTGGGCAGGCTGCTGGGCCCCTATCGGCGATCAGTGGGCGATTGGGCGTCGGTGCTTCCCCCCCCCCCTGAGCCTATACCTCCCTCGTGTTGCCCCTAGAGTGCGGGCCTTCGCTCGGCTCTCTGGCGGCCGTTGGGGACGATCTCGGCAGCCCTGGAACGCCTTCGCATGAGGCGCAGCCGCCAGAAGGTAACGTCCGAGGCTTGGAAGCCGCCGAGGACCGGCGCGAACCTCGAACATCAAACGTCATCCCCCCCGAACGCTGCGCCTGCTCCTCGCGGTGCGCCCCCTTCGCACCTGAACCCCCACCCTCGTGAGCCCTCTCTGCGTCCGCCGCAGGGCCCCCGCCTTCCCTCGCTCGGCTCCTCTCTCCCCCCTCCCCTCCCTGCCTCTGGCTCCTGGGCCCCCGTGTATCCTGCCCGATGCGCAGTCGAGTCGGTTCCCTCCCCTCTTTTTCCCTCCTTGACGGGGTGGGGGTGTGGGGGGTGCAGGGGGTTTGAGGGGGATCCCGGGTCAGAATACCGCCCCCCTGGGGTCCCGGTGGGTTCCAGGGTGTCCCGTGGGGGGGGGGTCTCCAGCGGGGGTTCCTGGGGAGGTCCCACCTTCAAGGTTGGCGGCACCGGCCGTAAGGCCTTCGCAATCAATTCTGTGGGCGATCTCCTACAGGAACTTTGCCTTTCCCGCCCTATGATCAGAACGTCCACTGATCTCGAACCCCACCGAAGGCGCCACTAGATGGTCCGTCACCAGACGATTTTGGGACTTTGGCGGCCCGAGGCGCTCGAAGCTTCCCCAGATGACGACCCGAGCTCTGCAACGGCTCGCTCACCTCGAACCATCTCTGACTCGCAAGACGATGGGTCACCGCACCGTTCCCAAAGATTCTATGTCGTGTTTTTTTCAATGCGCGGTCCCCAGAAGTCTTGACCCATTCCCCAGGAATTCTGAATCGTTTTTTGACGGTCCCTAGGCCCGTCGAGGGCCCCTAGGGGCCGAAATACGCGAACAATTCTTTCAATGCGCTGGAGCTCTGGGTTTGGGACACCCGGAAAAAAAGTCGAGCAACCCAACAATTGATTTTTGAGGGGCGCCCAAGCGCCTGGCCATAGTCCACCTGCATTGGCACCGGCACGTCGCTGCCGCTGGCCGCCCGCTTGGTCGCCAGGGGGTCGACCGGCGCCTTCCCGGACGGCGCTGGACGTACACCAGCCCCCCTCCTTCCACACCTGATCCTCTTCCTTCTCCTCCTCCTCCTCCTCCCTCCTCCTCCTCCCTCCTCCTCCTCCTCCTGTGCGAACAAAAACGAAGATCGGTATGAGCCCACACACTGGCCCGTCTCCCGCTCCAGCCCAGCAGCCGCCCCCGATCTTGCCGATGTAAAGCATGGGCGGGAAGCAACCTCCAATGCGTGCAGCGAGGAACGCCTTTTCTTCGGGAGCCCACACCCGGATCCCGACCACAAAACCAATCCGAGCTCGCCGCGAAGATCCAGCAGGAGCCACGTTGACGGCCACGCCCAGACCATCAGCGTCGCGGACATGCATCGACTGATTCCAGCGCGCGCCGGCATTCTCGGACCAGGGCGAACCGAGACCAAGGCAGCTCAAGATCGGTCCCCAGATCCCTCCTGGGGTCCAGACGCACCAATTTTTCGAGCTGCGTCCAGCCTCGGCGACGAGGGCCCGCCCAAGGCCAACTACCTTGGTCTCAACCCGCCTTGGTGGACGCCCAAATAGGTGCGGGAAAAATGGGTACGAACAGCGGCAGCAGTTGGGCAAGCGGCTGTCTGGTTCAAATGGACAACGCCCGTTGCGTCACGGACAGCGAATCCGGTCCAAAATGGACAGACCGTCAGTCTTCGCAAGTACATATTCTTTCCGTACCCACTTCGATCGCACCGATCGAGTAGGGGATCGACCACATAATCGATTTACCCAAAAATAGTTTTCCCATCGAATCAACACGAAACATACCTGCAATGCTCCGTAGATGTACTGACTGTTCTACGCATTTTCTTCATGGGTTCGGGAAAACCAAGTTTGGGGTAAATCAATTATGTAGTCGATCTCCTACTCGGACCGAGCCCTCTCCTCTGACTGGCATTCACTGGCAAACCACCGGCGCAGAGGTTCGGCGACTCCGACGGGTGTGGCTTGCAAATGATGCGGTTTGCAGCCTGCACCCCGGGGGGCGGACGAGGACCTCGACGGAGCTCTCCGCCGCGCCCCGAGGAGGCCCGACGGGGGCAGCGTGGTGCCCCCCCGAGCCCCAGCGACGCAGATCGCAAGCCGCACCCCGGCGCACCCACACCCCTCGCCGCCGCCGAGATGTGGCGCCGGCCAGCTGCCCGCACAGCTCGCAGTGCAGGTCGCCGAGCCCGCGCCCCTGAGCATCGTTTAACCGATCCCCATCCCCAGCGGCGTGGGCTGGGCCCACTGGCCGATTTACCCCACCAGATGGAGATGTGGGCCGCTCCTTTGGGATTCGAGGGATGTATCCCCAACTGGGGGGTCATTTGGCGGGGGTCTCGAAGGGGATGGGGATGGGGATGGGGGCCGGTTAAGCGATACTGAGCCCCGAGGCCGGCAGAGCCCCGAGCCGCGCCAGGACGCCCAGCAGCGCCAGCCCCTGCCGCATCCGCCGCGCCGCCAGTGCGGCCGCCTCTCCCGAGGAGCCGGCCCCGACAAGCACCTCCCGGGGACGAAAGCACCTGCAAAAGCATGCAGTGGAGGCCCATGCCAAGAAACGCCCTGCTTACCTCCAGGGTGCCCTGGGTTTCTTGGGCTTCGATGGTCTTGTGATGGAGAGCGTGGCGCTCCCACGCCGAAAGTCAATGGCCGTCCTGGGGTCTCAGGGTCGGGTTTCTTGTGGACGGTTTCTTGTGGACTGGCCTCCACTGTACACTCTCGGAGCTCAGCGCGGATCTCTTGGATCGGCGCCAGGGCCCCCTGGCGGCGCTTCCGGCGCCGCCCCGGGCGCGCTCCAAGAGCGCCAGGGAGGGGGGGTCATCAGAAGCCAGGCGGAGGCCGGCAAACCCGTGGCTGCCAAAACGGAGCTCTGGGAAACTGTTGCCATCCTCCGCTAAACAGCCCGCCTACCGGAATTGTTTATCTTCTGTTCCCGGGTTTTGAGTGGAGTGCGCTGAGTGCGCTGAGTTGTATTCCGGGCATTTGTCTTTTCCTCTCCTGGGGGGAACGTTGTAGCAACCACGCATTTGCCAGCCCTTCGCGCGTCTGCCTCACTCAAGTGAGAAAAGCCTTTTCCTGTCTGAGGTGAGAGTCACCCTGACAGGGCTGTTGTCTCTGCTGCGTGGTTGGTTCAGCCGCGCATGCATCGGGGATGGACAGACCCCCCTTTAGTAAAACGTGGTTTAGTGAAAACGACCTGAGGCCCAAACCTGGCGGGCGCAAGCCTGGAAAATAACGGCCACGGCGCCCTCTGGAGAACCGAAAACGGACAATTCACTAATCGACGTGTCACTGTTGGGGGTTCTGTCCATCCCCGAATGCAATGGCAACAAAAAAAAGTCAGCGCCGAGGCAACAAATCCGCGCGGAGCTCCACAAGCTGATGTCTCTGCCGCCCCTCGCCCTCCGAGCCTCGGCGCCCACGTTCCACGCCTGCAGCGCCAGCCAGAGGGCCTCCTCCGAGGGGGGAACGTTGAGGGTGGGGGAGGGGGGCGCCACCCCAGAACGGCGGGGGAGCGGGTGGGAGAGACGGAGGAGGCGAAAGAGGAAGGTGAGAGTCAAAGTCATGGGGACTGTTCGGGGGGGAGACTTAGACCTGGCATCGGCGACACATCGCCAACGAATCGGCGATAGGCCCCCGATAGCGAATCCGCACGCTCCTGTCTGGGGTGGGCTATCAGGCCCGTATCGGCGATCAATGGGCGATTGGGGGTTGATGCACCTCCCCCGATCCTTGCCCTTGACTGTCGGGCCATACCTCGGCTCTTTGGCGGCCGTTCGGGACGACTCGGGCACCCCCGGAACGCTCTCGGCGAGGCGCAGCCGCTGGAAGGCATCCCGAGGCTGGACGACCGTCGAGAACCGACAAAAGGTTCCGAAAACGTCAAACCCCGATCCCTCGACGACTCAAAGATCACCCCCTTCTCCTAGTTTCCCCTGGACGTTGCCCGGATCCTCGTGGGGCACAGGGTCTGGCAGCGCCGCGCCCGAGGCCGCCACTCCGGCCTTTCAGGAGGACGCCATGCACCGGTCCTGGCCAGGCTCGTCCTGGGCCCAGGATCGGCACCGGCGCCCTCCTGGCTTGGGCAAGTCGCGATGAGGGCACTGCTGCTGGTGATGATGCTACTGGTGCTGATGATGCAGTTACTGCGGATGCTGCAGGAGAAGGAGGAGAGAGGAGGAGGACGAAGAGGAGGACGAAGAGGAGCACGAAGAGGAGGAGGCTGCACACGCACGGGTCCTGGGCCCAGGGCCAGCCTGGCCAGGATCATTACTTCTTGGGTGTCTGGCAGCCAGCGGCCCCCTCCGAGCCTTGGCCCTCAGCAGCTCCAGGGCCTCCTCGCAGGCGCGGCCCAGCTCCTCGCCGTCCTCCCCCCCAGGCACGCGCAGCCCGGCGAGCTCGCGGCGGGCCGCGGCCGCCCTCCTCGGGCAGAAGCCGCCCTCGCGGGCGGCCAGGCGCAGGTAGCGGCGCAGGCAGCGCGCCGCCAGCTCCGCGTCCCCCGCCTCGACGGCGCAGATACGAACGGCGACCCGTCTCCGTATCCGCGCCCTCGCGATCTGGATTTCGCGATCCCGCGGGTACGCGGTCGCACAGATGCGTTCCGCGCGGGGCTTCCGCGAGATGGCGCCCCGAGTCCGCGGGGTCGCGGCCCAGCGGCCCGGCCCGTGAAGCCGAGGATACGGGAACATTTTTCGCACGCGAGCCTCGACAGAGCAACGCGCAGAGGGCGGGACCAGTCAGCACCGACTCCGGAAATCGGATCGAATCGGACTGCGTCGGATCGGGCCGCATGGGCACGGAGTCGGAATCGAATCGGATCGGCGCGGCCGAAATGCACAACAACACCATGCAAGAATCGGGCCGCATCTGGGAAACCAAGAGGTACCGATGCTGCTACTCCCCAGACCTCTCCCAGGGTGCGTTCTGACCAGGATGTCGAGGTGAATCCAGCGGTGGCGACGAGGGCCGCCCAAGAGGTCCCCAAAAGAGAAAACGAGGACAGAGCAGACGTATGGGTGTATTTTCCTCCTCTGAGCATCGGATCGTGGGAATATCGGAATCGAGTCGGATCGGGCCGGCCGGAATCTACATCGAATCGGATCGATCGGATCGAAACTGACGTTGGAGCGACGTGGGGAGGGTGACCCTGGGCAATCCCCGCGTTACCGCGGGGAGGCCCAACCCGAGCGCTGGAAGAATAACAAAAGGCATGCGCTGAAACTTTCGGAGCTCCGAGTGGACCTATTGCGGGTTCGTGTCGTGTCCACCCCGGCGGTGGTTCCTGAAACCGCGGGGATCGTTCAACCTTGACGATCGGCCGCTTCCGAAACGTCAGATCGGTCAACATCGACCGCTTCTGTATGGCCAACGACGTTCAACGTTGCATGCAAAAGGCGGGGTCGTCGCCAATCGACACGACACGAACCTAGCGTAATTGGATCCGCGCTGGTCCCCCCACACCTCGCACAGAGCGCGCCAGGGGCGACGCAAGAGCCAGGGGGGGGCCAGCGCCGATCCAAGAAATCCGCGCGGACCTCCGAAAGCTTAGGGCTACGCAAACGCTTGTTATCCGATTCGGTGCGCGGCTTCAGGGGTTCCCGGGGGGCCACACTTCAGCGCGCAAGCCAATGCTGGCGTTGCCCAATCAGTAGAGGCCTACCAAATGGGGTCCGAGTGGATGGGGTCGGAAGATGGCGCCGTATCGGCGATGCATCGCTGATGTCGGCGGTGCATCGTCGATGCGGCGCGATCTTCCGATCCGATCTAACCCCAGTAAGTCTTTCAACGCCCCTTATAAAGGGTAACCACTTGATTTTCGGCGGCCACATTCAGGAACTAGTGTCCCACCAATATGGGGAACTACTTATTTCGTCCCCGCGGCACCCGCCGCGCAACAACGACGCCGACAACTACGACTACGGTTGCGACTGCGGCTACGACTACTAGTACTTCAGCCTCAATAGCGCTGTCACGGGAAATCATAGCTCAGAAATTCGACTCCCAGAACATTTATCCTGAACAGCTCCATCCTGAGAAAGATTGTGAAAGCTCAGGCCCCACTCAGACCCTCAGAAACTTCATCAGCAGAAAAATGTGCGCAATGCCTTTGGCAAATATTGTGTCGCTCTGTATTGCGATCCTCTTGCAAGCGTACTCAACTGCCCTCTGTCGTGCAGGGTAGCCCAGGGAACACGGTTCCCGGGGAGAAAGAACCCCCAAACATTATCCAACCCGCCTAACAATAGAAGGACAATCATCTCCGCACAGACGACGAAGACGCTTGCGAGTACGACTAGAATTATGACTGCGACTTCAACCAGGGCGACGATTACGACTGCAATTGCGACTGCAATCACGATTGCAATCGCGACAGCAATCACGACTACAATCACAATCACAACAAAAAACGATGAATATAATGCGATCCTCACGAAAAGATGCTCACACATCCTCTCGCGTGTAGGGTAGCCCGCAATTGTCTCCTGGGGAAGAAACTCCCTCACTGTGATCCACTAGTAGTAACAGTCGTAGTGGTAGAAGTAGTAATATCAATATAAAGATCAAGAATGTAGTCGTAGCCGAAGATCAAGAATGTAGTCGTAGCCGTAGCACTCGTAGTAGTCGTAGTAGTCGCCACCGCCGTCGTGGTAGTACTATCATTATTATAAATATTAATATATTTCGTAGTACTAGCAATAGTAGTCGTCGTCGTCGTAGTAGTAGTAGTAATAGTAGTAGCAGTAGTAGTAGTAGTCGTAGTCGTAGACGTAGTAGTAGTAGTAGTAGTAGTAGTAATAGAAGTATTGGTGGTAGTAACGGCCGTAGTGGTAATAGGACTTGTAATTGTAGTACTCGTCGTAATACCAGTAGTCGTCATCGTACAAGTATTGGAAACCATGTTGTTCTAGTCCAAATGGAAAAATACTTGTAATTAAATGTTGGAGCAACAAACGCGGGACAAATTCTCGTAGTAGTCGTCATAGTCGTTAAAGTGGTGGTAGCCGTAGTAGTAGTAGAAGTCGTCGTCGTAGTAGTAGTAGTAGTAGCCATAGTAGTAGTAGTAGTAGTCGTCGTCGTAGTAGTAGTAGTAGTCGTAGTAGTAGTAGTGGTGTAGTAGTGGTGGTAGCAGTAGTAGTAGTAGCAGTAGTAGTAGTAGTAGTAGTAGTAGTAGTAATAGTAATAGTAGTAGTAGTAGTAGTAGTAGTAGTAGTAGTAGTAGTAGTGGTAGTAGTAGTAGTAGTAGTCGTCGTCGTCGTAGTAGTAGTAGTAGTAGTAGTAGTCGTAGTCGTCGTCGTAGTAGTTGTAGTAGTAGAAGTGGTGGTAGTTGTAATTATAGTACTAGTAGTCGTAGAAGTAAGAGTAGCCGTTGTAGTAATAGTGGTGGTGGTAGCCGTAGTCGTAGTAAAACTCGTAATAGTAATCGCAGAAGTAGCAATAGTATTAACCGCAGTCGTAGTATTAGTGGTGGTAATAATATGCGCAGTGGTAGTAATAGTAATACATTAGAAAAAAAACACCAGCCGCACGAGCAATAGTAGTATTAGTAGTCGTAGTAGTAGCAGTAGTAGTCGCAGTAGTAATAGTATTAGTAGTAGTAATAGTAGTAGTAGTAGTAGTAGTAGTCGTAGTCGTAGTCGTGGTCATAGAGGTGACAGTCGTAGAATTAGGCCTCGGTCGTAGAGCAGGTAGTACACGTGGTAAAAGTAGTAGTAGTAGTAGTAGTAGTAGTAGTAGTAGTAGTAGTAGTAGTAGTAGTCGTGGTAGTAGTAGTAGTAGTAGTATTAGCAGGAGTAGTAGTAGCAATAGCAATAGCAATAGCAAAAGCAGTAGCATTCGTAACAGTAACAGGTAACAGCAGAAGCAATAGCAGTAGCAAAAACAATAGCAAAAGCAAAAGCAATAGCGATAGCACTGGTAGTCGTAACAGTTGTTGTAGTGGTAATCGTAAAAGCAATAGTAATAGTCGTAGTGGTGCACATAAGAATAGTAATAGTAGAAGCAGTAGT